CTTTTTCTTTTAAATGCTAGAATATACATTACTAACTCTTTTCATAAGATTTTTGTTTTTATCTAAATTGAATAATCTTTTATTTATTTTAAATTTTTTTTAAAATTTATATTCATCGAATGTAAAAATCAATAAAAAGTTATCTGATTTATATAATATTTTTAAGATATATATATTGGATTTTAAAAAATGGTGCATCTGCACCATGGTGCATCTCTAATCACGTGATCGATTTTTGTGATGCAGATTTTTATAGTATACTGCAATAATTCGTAGCGCGAATTTATAGTATGTTGTAATTTTAATGTAATAATTCATAGTGCGGATTTTTATAGATACTGTAGTAATGCGGTAATAGTTACATGATTTAAAATTTATTAATTTATACCATGAAACAATTACCTATAAAACCCTCTAACCCTAGCTTCTAACAAACAAATCTAACCCTAACCCTAAGCTATACTACTAACTAGCTATTAAACCTTAACCTCTAATAAACAAATCTAACCCTAACTCTAAGCTATACTACTAACTAACTATAAAACGAAACTAAAACATGACAAAACAAGAGCGAAATCGCATCGATGATATCGAAACGTCAATATCAGACAGCAACAAAAGAACTAAGACCACATTCATGATGCAATGAAAGACCAAAAAATAGGATTTTATATAGCACAACGTCTATGATGTGACAAAAGACCAAAAAACAGAACTTTACATAGCACAAACGATATACTTTATCGTGCTTCTCGGGATATGACCAATAACTAGAACGAAAGGTTTACAGAATGCCTTAGATCAATACTTGAAAGAGAAAAATGAATGTTAGTTAAATGCAAAAGAACAACAAGCGAATAGAAAACAATCAACAAAAAAATCATACTTCCCATATATTGAAAGTAACAAATCATGGAAAAATCGCAACTGCAAAACGAAAAGTGATATTAATGTCGAAAGAAAAGCCCAAAGACATCCTTAATAGCACCTATAAACCGAAAGGAAGCATCAGTAACACATTTACAAGCTAAAACCAAGTACTACCAATAAAAACAAAAATCTTATGAAAAAAGTTAGTAATGTATATTCTAGCATTTAAAAGAAAAAGGAAAACTCCAAGACGCCCTTAACAAGTCTATAAAAAAAAAAGATACGTTAATAACAGTTCACAAACCTGAAAACTAAAACAACTAATAAATACAGTAAACTATACATTCCGGCAGCTACAACAAAGGCAACACTAATTCAACAAGGCACTGGCGACAAAACGAATTGACAACACCAAATTGCAAAACGATGAAAACAAAATCTATGCAAATAATGACTTACAGCACAAAACATAATCAGGATCTACCCACCGAAATTTACAATGCTGAAATTGACGATGCTGAAATCAATGGCACCAAAGACAACAGCACAAAACAAACATGCTTACCAAATCCAAACGACATGTTAAAAGCTTTGAATGAAAAAAACCAATGTTAGTACAAAAAAAAAAAGCAGAAAAAAAAAGCAGTACTGTACAAAAAAAAAGTAGTACTGTACACAAAAAAAAAAAACAGTGATTATCGATGATCACTAATTGTATATATACCCATGATTAGGGTGCACCATGGTGCAGGGTGCACCAAAATATAATTCTCATATATATTTTACTTTTTTGAACAACTTTTTTTTTTTTTTTTTTTTTTTTTTAATGTCTACCCTTTTGGAAGCTAGAATTTTTATTCAAGTATATTTAGCAGGGGATTTTCTTAAGGAACCCTTACATTCGAGAGTACATACTAGCCACACGTATACTTTTGGTGTCTATTTTAAGTAGTTCACTTGTACATTATATAGGTTTCACACTAGATGCTGTACCTGTAACCCAACTACTGGTGTTATCCATTTAACCTCTCTGTAATGTAGCTAAACCTGTATCACCAGGATATTTCCATTATATTCATTAGTTAAGAAGTCTTGGATGCTTTATCTCCATTATCCTTAAAACTAATTTATTCTTGAGGGATCGACACTAAAGCGGTCCGAATCCACAATTCGGATTCATCTAGATTCAGTAACTTTACGCCGAGTCCAAGGACAAGTACTTGCAAGCACGAGGCCGCTACCAGTTACCTACTACCCCTTGTAGAGTTCACCCAAACCCCAGTACCCACTTTACAGACTCTCAACCGTGTCTCTGACTATCCCAAACTACCAATCCAGATGGTCCAGAAGGAGTTTACCCTGGTATTTGCAACTAAGCAGATCCTTTTCCTCCGGTTCTGACGGACTCGGTTCCGGCGGCCTGGTTGGTGGAGTGTCTTGCCATATACTGGTCCTGTTCGGTTTTTGCCAGTTATCTGGTGATAATCTTTTACATAGTACTGTCGAAAATCTGTATTACCTCTCTACTTGGGTCTTGTCAAGCAGGTATCTATCTTTCCGTTTATAGGAATCTGAAACTTTTTCATGTAACTCATACATCACACGAATACCCTATGATCTTTCAATCTTGTTGGTGCCACCAAGATTACAGAAATCCCGTTTCAACCGATCGTCGAAAGACAGTAGCTATCGTACAGATAGAATATTCGAAATTCGTCACTGGTGGGTTTCGAACCTCTACCTATTTAATATATCACTTGGGGGTGCGACAACTTAATCACTTTACTAAGTCACTACACACTCCTTTTGAACAACTTTCACTTAATAAGATAGATCGATTTACTTAGTAAAATTTTGACTTTACTATATAGTAACTACTAATGATTATATAAATAACTTGTTTTTAGATTTAAGAAGTTTTATATTTTTCTTCTAAAAAAAAAAAATAACTTATTTTTTTTTTCTTTTGGTAGTCCTGTCTATTACTCTTTATTGGGAAGTACCAGAACTTATATCAACAGGGAAATACAATTTTCTATACTATATTCTACGTGAGTAAAGATTAACTCGAGCTAAGCTCAGAGAACGACCCATCTAACAGCAATCGGCTTCACATTGGATCCACTGCATCGCTTCATCAAAAGAGCCAAATTAACAAAAACACAAACACAAAAGAAAATAAAACAGAGGTAAAAGAAGAATATGATAAAAGATACAAACAAGAAAGATAAAGGATAGGGATATCGAAAAAAGAAAAAAACGAGAAATTTGCCTATTCTAATGATCACTATTATGAGCCCGTGAAAGGCTTATAAAAATTACATACTACTAAATAAAATAATCCCTACTATTAAATTTATTTGAATAGTATATAAAAGCTTAAAACTAGTGGAAAAATACTTCTTTGACCATAAATCGTAGGGGGTCGGTACTCGATCCAAGTCGTAGAACATTGCTTAATCAGATTGTTGCATTCGAGGCATGTGCCTTGATGTGTTTGTTATCCTGTTGTACCAATTTAGGAAATAAACAATGCTGACTGTTTTGGTACACGTGATGTCAATCTTTTAAAGAGGTAAGCTGAAACGCCCACTTTTTACAAAAATTTCCTCAAAAAAAAGTGGTAGGCCAACAAAAGTATGTGAGATTCTTCTTGTAAGAGTTACAGTAATATAGTCTAGTTCCTCTGTTTCTACTAGATATTCTTCTACAGGGACCCGCAGAGACGTTGCTCCCAAAATATCCTTTTGGTTTGGATATCAAAGGTATGGGGAGTCCACTTCTTTTTTTCCTTGCTGTTCCCAAAGACTTCTCTGGTTTGAATGCCGAACATATAAAGGAGTCCACCCTATATAGAAAAGGCTTGACCTATGTGCAAACCGTTCACAACGCCCGCACCTTAGTATATCACGTTTAAGAACTTCATCAACAACAGCTTGTAAAAAAAAGAGCTTGACTATGATACCGGACCCACTTTTTGTTTATACGCCTGCTTCTCAGTATTTCACATATATAAGTTTAGTCGACAGCAAGTATGAAACTATGAACCAAGAGTATCGTAGTATCCACTTTGTCACTTTTCTATAGCTTTAACTGTAGTTCGATTTTTTTTGTTGTTAACCAAAGGATCGTCGGAAAGAGTTGTTGGAAATAACTTATTATTAGAAGTGAATTATTTTTGACAATATATAATATATATATATATATAATTCATTGAACTTGAACATGTTCATGAACTTTTGAACTAAACCTAAACTGAACCTGAACTTGACTTAAAAGTTCAATATTAAACCTGAACTGAACTTTTTTTAAAAAAAGTTCAAGTTCAAGTTCAGTTTAATTTTGAACTGAACTTGAGCTTGATCAAAAGTTCAGTTCAGTTCAGTTCATAGAAACACTATTTAATAGAGACAAGAAACTATTAAAAGAAGCCAAAAAACAACAAGAAAAAGCAAAAACTAAGAGTTTTGGTCTTCTAGGAATTGATTTTAGTCAAATAACCTATATATTAACCAGAAAGTTATAAATAACAACCCAATTACAGAATTACTAAAAAAACAAAAGGATTCTGCAAAAGAACAGTCACCAGAAACTACAATGAAGATAGACTTTAACAACTCTATGGACTCTTCTAACCCAATAGAAAAAACAGAAGCAGTACCTGCTAATACTACTAATACAACTAATGATAATACTCCTTTTATTATAGTTGTATCTAGAAAACAGAAAGTAAAAAGAAAAAAGAAAGCTTATACATAATCAGAAGGTCTATATAAAAAAGCAGATAGCTCTTATTAGAGTTACCTTTTATATAAGAATTAACACTAAAGATATCTATCTTTAGTATAGTTCCACCTTTAATAATCTAATAATTAAGATTACTACACTTAATATTAAGGGTCTGAACAGCAGATCCAAAGCACAAAAAACACTTATACTTTTAAAATCATACAAATTAGACATAATAATAATTCAAGAACCAAATTTGAAAAACACAAATACAAGAAGATTTCTTTCTCAACAATAGGGTTTTGACTCACTCTGGTCCTTCAAGGTAGTAATTCTTGCAAGAAAAAGAAATATTAAGCTTACTGATACCAAAATTACTCATAATGATCAGGTTGTAGTAGCCAAAACTACAATTAAACAATAGCCTTTTCTTATTACAAATGTCTATACACCACTTAAAATTGAGAAAAAAATTAACTTTTTTGATAATTGGGCACCAAATTTAGATATCAACTATATTTGTATTATAGCAGATGACTTCAATACAAATTTAAGACCAGAAAAGGACAGAATTAGCCAAGTCACTTCTCAGAATATCCATTTCAAGAATCTACTAAAAGAACTAATAGCTGACTATACAGATATATCACTATTCTCTGAGGAAAACTCATTTTTTACTTTCTACCAAACAACCGAAAGATAGCAACTAAACTTGATTATATTTTTATCAAGGCTAGCTATAGCCACCTTTGTACCAATACATTTACTCAGTTTAGAAACTTTGACCACTTGTTAGTAGAAAATGTTTTCAACCTAAAACTAAAGCATTAGCACAAAGCCTCTTGGAAGTTCGAAAAAAAATACTGAAATAATCCTGAACTTAAGAATGATATTACCAAAGAACGGATCTATGCAAGTACAGAATTCAATCTTTTGTTAGAGCAACCAAGTCTTCTTCACCTCCAAAAAGTAATATACAAAAACTGCAGAAAATGCTTAGCAGTATTAATAACAAAATAGCAAGAAACCCTGACCTAAAAGAACTTAAATTGGTATCAAAAGAAATAAATCTCAAACTATAAGAAAAATTACAAATGCTATCCAATAAGTGATGCTTGCGCTCAAAAGCAAAATAGATAAAAGAAGGCGAAAAGTCAACCAAGCACTTTTTTGCTCTTTATAAATCCAGATACTCAACAAGCTGTAGCACCAAAACCAGAGAGCCAAATACTACTAATGATCCTATACAGAAGCAAATAATA